GATAAATACTAGGAAATAGTGATCAAAACAATTTGACTGTAGTTCTGCTGCTGGAATAAATAAAATATTCATGTGTTGGTCTTTCTTAGAGTGGAGCTTCTGAATCTCTAATTGATGTCTGCATGCTTTGGATGGTTAAGAAGTTATGGAACATTTAGCTATTGTGAACTTAATTTATTCTGTAAAGGTTCTTTATTAATCATTCATAGAACCGAGTTTAAAACTAGGGTAGTGTGTGCAGCTCATGATCTTTATTACATAAGTCCTCATAAATATGATATGTACAGCCAGATCCCTTTGATTTGAATGTGGATGTCTGTGTAGCAGGATGCTTAGAAAGTGACTTATTCAGAGGTTAAGGCTTTTCTTATGAATTTCTCTCTCTCCATCAGCATTAGAATTTTATTACTATTCCTGAAATGAAATGAAATGTAGAGCAGCTTGGTTTAGTGGAAGCTCTGTGCTAAGCACTGCAGTTTGTTTTGTTCAAGCCTCAATATACTCTGGGATGCAATAAAAGCAGTAAGTGCTCTTGAGACTGCTTCAGGTTTAATTCCAAATAAGAGTCAAATGCAAATTACAAAATTAATTTTTCACACATATCCCAAACACATCACTCATCTCCCTCCACTTTGCTCAACCAAAAGTCTTCATGAATCCAGAAATGCAATCAAACTCATAGTCTATGACTTTATTCTCTTGTTTTTCATCTTGATGTCTTACTGCACCAACTGGCATCTCATCTCTCTAGCCCATAGATAGATAGCAGATTTCATTAGCCATCCAGGCTGTAGCCTTGGTGTACTGATTAGTGAACCTCTAAGACTCATATTTATTTTGGCTAACAGTGTGGTTGCTTGCTTGAGGTTTACTAGTCTTTCAAAAAATTTACAGATTTTTCCTGAAAATCTATGCATATGCCTGTGTCTGCATGCATATGTACCTTTCTGCAAGACCAGAAAGGTTGGCTGATTAGTTTTACCAAGCATGGTCAGAGAGGATGTGGTGAGGGTGGCAGTTTAGTGGCAATTCCTTAAGTGCTTAGCCTTGGTGATGAACAAATACCCAAACTGCTGTGTTTTCTATGGGCAACTCTTTTTCTAAACCATCACTAGTACTAGGGGATTAAAGCAATACACTGTTTTCTGGGTAGCCATGAGTTGATGCTGTGACAGACCCATTCCCCAGTTAAAATGATCTTTGTCTCCAAATTTTGGAGAAAGTGGAATATGGTCTGGCAGAAGTAAGAGTTGTGATGTCTGAGTGGGGTTTTTTTGCTTTTGAAAAAAACTTGACTCATGCAAATTCTATTTTTATATAAATCATTGAGGGAAAATTCCAAATTCACACATTTTAAATTCCATTGGAAGAGCCACTGGTGATAAGGTATTAGTTCATCTTCTGGATTTAGTTCTTGTTTGTTCTGCTTGCATTGGCATTGCAAGAAAATGCCTTAGTCTGGGAAGACACTCTGCTTCACTTGAAGAGTCCTTCTTGTCTGAGAGGCCATACTTGTTACCTTATTCAGCTGTCATCATTGCCAAAGATGACCATGGTAATTGTGACTGAGTAGACTGAGGGTTAAACAATGAAGTTATGTCACAGCTGCAGTTTTATTCCAACTTGCAAAAAAGCTGCATCGGAAACCTATATGGCTCTAATAGTAAATCAGTAAGCTTTCTAGTAATACCCAGATTAATCCTCTAGAGCCAAAATTCAGGCTGTAATTTTATAACACATGCTAAACCTGGCATTGCCCTCTATTTCTAATTTCCTTTCAATTTGATCTTCCATGAGGTCTCTCTGAAACTAATGCACATGAAATAAAACAGCTGTCCCGATTCTCTTTCTTATCAGCACTTTTAGTCTGTCTTTTTCATCCAAGATAGGGAATTAAATATAAGATCCAATTTGACATAGAACAAGAGAAAAGCACCAAGAGAGTTTTCCTTTTAGAAACAATGTTTTTTTAGGCTGGAGGTCTTTGAAGTATGGATGCACTTTAGTATAAAAGTTGAGTGGCTGTTTTAGTAAGTGTAACACAAATTTCCATTCTATAAATGCAAAAGAGAGAGGTTAATATATGTGTGTTTGATGGAACATGGCATCTTCTTTTTTTTTTCTTTTTTTTTTTTCCAAAATTTTCTTTGAATAGTTCAGCATCTGTTTTTTGGAGAGCCACTGTCCTGTCTGCAGTCACTGCCTGGAGTACTTGCTAGGACTGAAAGCTTAGTCTTTCTGGAAGTTTTGTTGTGAATAAAACAGCTCTCTTGTGTGATTTCAGAGCACAGTTTGATCACTAGTCACTACTGCACCTAAGGCAAGGTGTGAAGGGTTTCTTTCTTTCTACACACAGGTTTTGGTATAGTAAATAGTTCGAAAGCTTTTTCCCATGCCATGTGTACGTCTCTGTGTGTGTGTGTCTGTCTTCCTGTCTGTCTTTTTCTCTCCTTTTTCAAATAAGAGGAAAGGGAGTGGGACATGATCCCACAAGTCCTGAGGGTTTGCAGTATCTGTGAGGGAGGTACTTGTATAAACATTGCATAAATGCATGTAGTCTACAAGTGGACTGAATTCAAATTGCTTCTTTATCCAACTCCATATGTTAACTTGTGAGTCCTGCAGGGACAGATGATTTCAGACTGTGGGTGGTCATCCAGGATGAGTGGCTGGGGATTGAGGGATGCCCTAAAGCAGTGTGCTGTGTGACTGTCCTGGCTACGGTTTGGCCTCTGTCTGGGACAGATCTCACCTGTTTGAATATAGAGCACTGCTTTGTATGCAGCTGTTAGCAGGCTGATGTGCCACTATTGAGGTGACAGAGAGGTTTGCAATATATCTGCCATTACCTGGAGGTTCACCGAGCAGAAACTGAGGATATTTACTGTGTAATGTAGGCAAAAAAAGTAAGGAAACAATCAGTTGATGTGCTACTGCTGTGACATTTTTAACATATTCAGCTGTTCTCTAAAATATTAACCAAACATGAATAATGCAAACTGAGGATGTTTAAAATTCAAGAACAAACACAACTTTATGTTTTACCAATTAGGTTTCAATTACATCCCATTTCCTAGGGAAAAAAAAGACATAAATTATGACTTTCTGCATTTAGTAACAATATGTACATTGCTGGCTCTGTGTGAGCATGGGAAATAAGGTGTTTACATTAAATATATTTTCACTATTATGGGAAAGAATGTTAAACCATTCTTGTTGCATCAAAAAGCATCTTAGATGGATTGATTATGCATGAGTCATTTGTGGAGGTTTTTTTCTTTGGGCACAGACGTGGTGATCAGGATTTGCTTCATGTTCAGTTTGGCTCTGGCATTGACTTAGATGGTGGTGCTATGCTAGGGTAGGTTTAAATAGATGATTTGAAGCTTACAAATGATAATAATACTGAAAAACTCACTTGTCTGTGGAGTCCCAGACCTTTTTTATGTAAGTACAGTGCCTGCACATCTGTATCTGATAAGCAAATTGTCATACATGTACACTTGATCTCTTTTCTAAAACTGTCCTTTAATCTTTACAACAGTATGAGAATACTAAATACTTACTGTCTTGGTGTCTGTATTGTACTTTAATTTAGAAGATACTTTGTTAAATACTTCAAAGACAGAAAAATTTCAGGACAATAAATTTTAGTGGTAATTTCTGGATTGAGATACTGGAATGATGTTCCTCCTTTTAAATTTGTTTTCTTTTCCCTTTATTGTTTTTTTAGTGCTGCGATCTTGGATACCATGCTAGTCTGAACAGAGCCCTAAGAACATACCTTTCTGCAGAGTATAACCTTGAAACTTCCAGGCACGAGGGCTTAGACATCATTGAAAATGCAGTTGACAGCTTGGAGCCACGAAGTGACAAGCAGAGATTCATGGAAATGTACCCCACTGCTTTTTGTCCACCCATGAAATTTGAGTTCCAGTCTCATATGGGTGATGAGGTCTGTATATTGACAAGTATCCCCACGGTGACTGTTCCTGTGTACCAGGAGAGAGAATTTATCCCCTTTTACAACGAGTTTGGTAAAAAGTGTTGTTGCTATCCAAAAGCCAGTGGATCAGCAATAACATTTTGCAGCACTGGCAGAACTATCTGTTTCTTCAAAGTTCTCATGAAAAAACTGTTGTGTGTTATTATATTTGTATTACTCATAATGTCATAGCTGTGAACTTGCTGGCAAACTTGTGCTTAGTCCAATACCAGTGTAAGATAGTGACTTTGTCTTTACTAACCTGCTTCACTCATAACAGAGTTTGTGGGTGCTGTTTGAGAGCAATTGCAGAGTTGCTCCAAATTATGCATGCTGCAATGCAGCCTTCTCCCCTTCTTCCTCCCCCATTTTATCATCAGGAGATTTCAAGCATACAAGGTACCCCAGCTGTGCCCTGTTTTAAGGGGATCCCAGCACCCTGAGCCAGAGGACCATGGCTGTGAGAATTATAAACTCGCAGTTGACCCTGATGTGAGAGATCTGCTGCTCCAGCTAGATTCCTATAAATCTATGGGGCCTGATGGGATTCATCCAAGAATACTTAAAGAGCTGGCTGCTGTCATTGTAAGGCCTCTCAGTGATTTTTCCAATGGTCTTGGGAATCTGTAGAGTCCCAGCTGACTGGAAGCTGGCTAACCTTGTCCAGATTTTCAAAAAGGACAAGAAGGATGGCCCTGGTAACTACAGGCCTGTCAGTCTCACTTCAGTGACTGGCAAAATTATGGAGAAGGTTATTCTGGGAGGTATTGAAAAACACCTGAAGGACAGCACTGTCATTGGTCACAGCCAGCATGGCTTCATGAGGGGAAAGTCCTGATTTCCTTCTATGACAAGGTAACCCACCTAGCTGATCAAGGGAACCAGTTGATGTAATCCTTTTGGATTTCAGCAAAGCTTTTGATACTCTCTCTCACAGTATCCTTCTAGACAAAATGTCCAACATACATCGGGATAAACATGTCCTTCAATGGGTGAGCAACTGGCTCACGGGTTGGGCACAAAGGGTTATGGCGAATGGGATTACATCAGGCTGGTGACCAGTCATTAGTGGGTTCTGCAGGGCTCCATCTTAGGCCCAGTGCTCTTCAATATCTTCATAAATGACTTGGATGCAGGACTTGAAGGGAAGCTAAGCAAGTTTGCAGATGATTCAAAATTGGGAGATATCGACTCCCTTGAAGGCAAAGAGGCCTTGCAGAGAGACCTAGACAAATTAGAGAGCTGGGCAATCACTGATCATGTGAAGTTTAACAAGGGCAAGTGCTGGGTTCCACACCTGGGATGGGGCAACTCTCCTGTATGTACAGACTGGGGAATGA